CGAACCTGGGTCTCCAAAAAGACAAATAAATGAGTTGTAGGTCAGATCAAGCCTGAACCGGTGTAAAGCCCCCGTCTGAACGCACCCAGAGTGTCACGACTTAATGCTAGCCATGTCATAAAGACAGGCGAGACCCAAGACTTGTTCCGAAAGGTAACATTTGGGGTTTCTTCTTGAAAAGGTGACTAGTTGTTTGGGGGTTTGACTGCCTCTTGCCGAGAAAACCTGGTGTTCCCACCACATTCTCTTTTATGTTACCCTGATTTGGCAGTTTTAATTGCTGAAAATAGTGAAAAGCAATTAAAAATTCTTTAAAGGGGGGGGGGGAGGAAGCCACGGACTTCTGGTGTGCAGGACCTGAGCCAGGCTGTGAACTAGCAGACATTTTGGAGGACAATGAACCATAGGGTCTCTATAAGTCATAAGCCAGCTGGGTGACCTTGGGCCAGTCACAAGTTCTTTCAGAGCTGTTCCCTCAAGAGCAGTCCTCAAAAGAGCTCTCTTAGCCCCACCTACTTCACAGGGTGTCTGTTGTGGGGACGGGAAGGGAAGTCGCTCTGAGACGCCTTTGGGCAGCAAAAAGTGGGGTATAAGAACCAACTCTTCTTCTTCTTAGATAATAGAATTGAAAGACTTTAATTTATACCCTGTCTCGCCCCGCCCCCCGAGAACACGAAGTGGCTTATATCATCATCTCCTTCAATAAAATAAAGATTCTCACAACAACCCTGTGAGGTTGGTTTCTCTCTCCCCTCCTCTGATCTGTAGCCATCAAGTTATTGATTTAAAAACTTCTTATCACATTATTATCCCACCCTTCCTCCAAGCTCAGAGTGACATGCGTGATTTTCCTTCCCCCATTTTGTTATCAACTAGTCCGTAAGGTGGGTGAGGCTGTGGGACTGGACCGTGGTTCATGGCGGTGGGGATCTGAACCTGGGTCTCCAAAAAGACAAATAGATGGGTTGTAGGTCAGATCAAGCCTGAGCTTAGAGGGAACACTGTCATAAGAGACCTGAAAGCACCTCTTTCTCTCTCACACACACACTCCTAGTTCCAAAACCAATATTTTAACCAATAAAGAAAGCCAGCCAGCCAACCAAAATAGCCAATAGACACTAAACTATGGTTTTCTCGATGTTTGGCATTATTTTTTTGTGAGCTCTGCCCGGAGTTGCCAACACCAGGATCTGGATGGCTTAAGTTCAGATGAATACTAGGTAGATGTTTTTAAACAAAGAGAAAGATATTATTCCATACATGCAGTGAGCCAGTATCACACGTGATAGGACTTAAATTATAAAGATGTTAAATTGCCGTCTATCTCCTTGGCGTAATTTCAAGAGTTTATAAGAGTTTTGGGCAATTTATATCCACAGGTACGCAATACAGATTTTCTACCGAGTAGGTAGAAACAGGCTGTTATGCTTTTCGCCTTCTCAGCACGAGTCTTGCTGAGTTCATCCGCACAAACACACCCTCTCCTGGGGCTTTCATCAGTTAATGGGCTGCCAGGGTTTTGTAATGTGTTTGTATAGAACATATTTTGGCCTTCAAGAAACTTTTTTTTTTTGGTTATGAATGCTATAAACACTAGTCAGAGACGAGGTGTGACGAAACCATTACCAGTGTTTTCCTTCAGTATGAAAAGCAATTGTATGCACTGCCAAGTGTATTGATCAGACTCCAAATTAAAAAGCCCCATATTGGAGATTAAGTGAACTGATATTTTTTAATGAATTTACTTTTATAAAAGATGCAGCTTGGCTTCAGCTGTCTACCAGTTTTCAGCATCTGTTTTCTATTAGGAGCCGTTGCCCTCAGGCAATGCAGTTTAAACGCTTCTGAATTTTGTAACATGCATTTGGTCTCGTGGGAACTTATCGGTGTCTGGCCTCAACGCTTACGATTCCCAAGGAGTTCGACATTGACATACATGAAGCTGAACCACCACCAACCCGAAAGGTAGGTTTAGGATGAGGGAGACAGCAGTTTTGCTCATGAACATCCACTGAGCTTTATGGCTCAACAGGGGGATGAACTTAAAGTCCGACGTTCTATCCAGTTTTACATGAACTAGTACAGAAAGGAAAGCTGCAGTACCTCTGCCAGGTTCTGAGAACGTAGCAAAATTGCATTGTGAATACCTAGTCTTCTTGTGCCTGTTTTTTACTGGACAGTCTGATTGAAGAAGCCACGACAGTCTTACTGAAGAAAATTTGCGGTCACACACACGCAGAGGTGTCAAACTTGCAGGCCAGGGGCCCGGGGGGGCAGTGCCCCCCCCCCCCCCCCCGGCTTCTATCAGGCCCACGGTGGAACTGGCTGCCTTCTGCTGCTGCCACGTCATCGTAGGTTTGCATCTTACAGATACACACCTGAACAGCATACTCAAGACTGCAACAGCACAGACATTTTGATGCAATAATTAAGAGGAAGAGATTGGATTTCTACCCCGCCCTTCACTACTCGAAGGAGTCTCAGATCAGCTTATAATCTCCTTTCCCTCCCCGTCCCCACAACAGACACCCCTGTGAGGTAGGTAAAATGTGTGCGCTTATTTTGAATCAATGTTCTTACTCTACCTTTTGGGCACAAGGACTGTTATGATGGCAGGGAAAGGCAACAGTATCTCAGTTATTTGGTTAGGGGGAAAATGTCTGGAGGCCTATGAGATAGGGGGCCCATGGGTGCCATGGCGCCTGGTAACACCTTTCCTAGTGGTGACCAATTTTTTTACAAACTGGGCCAGGCCAAATAGGGCCTTTGCCTAGCAAGGATTCTGATTGGCCGCTCAGATTAAAAGGCACACTGTTAAACAGAGCTTATTCCTGAAATACTGAAGAGTTATTAGAGTTATGCATAAGGCTCACTGCCTGAAATATTGTGGTTGGCGCTGCCTCCCGCAGCCTCCATTTTGTTGTTGTGCCTACCACCCTGTGTCGGCATTCCACAGGTGCCCACAAGCTCACAAAGGCTGAGGGTCCTTGAATTAACGGACAAATCATGCAAGTCACTACACAAACACCGTTGTATTTAGAGCCGTACTTCACTGTCCACTCTCTTGGATGGTAAGGGAGCTTGAAGATGAAGAGTGGCTCCCTCTACAGAAGAATGAGAGCCTTGTAGAGAAGAGAGAAGAGATTGGATTTATACCTCCTCCTTCACTTGGAGTCTCAGAGCAGCTTACAAACTCCTTTCCCTTCCCCTCCCCACAACAGGCAGGGGCTGAGAGAGCTCTTTCCAGAACTGTCCTTGAGAGAACAGCTCTGACAGAACTATACCTTGCCCAAGGTCATCCAGCAGCTGCAAGTGGAGGAGTGGGGAATCAAACCCGGTTCTCCCAGATTAGAGTCCGTGCACTTAACCACTACACCAAACTGGCTCTCTGGGAAAAGGAATGTACAATTGTTTGAATGTTTTCAAGTTTCCCTGCAATTATGAGGGCGATTTATGTCAAACTAAATGCCACATACATGCAGAAAACGTGGACGGTTAGGCATCATTCACTAGATTCTGAGTTTTAATAAATTCCAATTTCTTAACTAATTAACGAACACTCCAGTATTTTTCAAGAAACAATTTTATTTGTTTTGGAAAACCACATGAGTACGTTTACCTGTCAAGACTAACCAACAGCTATAGTGGCCATGTGGGAAAAAATAGACCATGAAAACTACAAAGACTTGAAATTATACTTCATTCATTAACGGTTTGCTTTGGTTGTTTGCTATTTAAATTGCACAGTAATGTTTTGTCTACACTAATAAGAAACTTCCTTCCTGCCCCGATATTGTCCTATGTCTGTCTTATTTAGACTGCACAGCTGCAAAATGGGGACTGTCTACCGTTTTAATTTGCGTAATACCTAGCAATTTTAATTATTACAGAAATCGTGCTAATTACACGACATATTCCTGCCATTGCAGACACAGAATATATTGAATAAAACAGATGTTTAAAAAAAGATCAGAACTGCTAGAATATTACAAAACATTTCTAGCCACATCTGGCAGCAACACACCGAACTTGGAATTCAAAAAGATAATTTTATTTCACTTACAAAAATAGAGTTGAAACAAAATGATGTTTTTAAACAATCTCTTCATAAAATTTAGAGAACCTCAGGTCATATGGAGCTTTGGGATGCAATAAGCACTGGAGCGCCTGCAAGAAAAGGAATTGAGTACAGAAAAAATAAGATAAAAGAGAAAGTTTAACAGCTGTGCCCATGTACAGAAACACGTGGAAAAGTACATTTCTCTTGCCGACACGAGCATGCCAACTGTTATCAGTGGGATGGAATGATTTTAAATTTTAACCGATTTTCCTTCAAACCCCATTTTGGACGCAACAATGAGAACACCACCACAGGTAAGCTTTGTGTTCCGCGGATCACAAAACGTTTTGGGAGTGCGGAGAAACGCCATTGCTCTAATCATTTAGATAGTTAGAGAAAAGCATTATATGTGCTTTTTAAAAGTGTTTATAGCTGCCCAGGTCACCTTTTAGTTACAAAGCAACCATCCAAAGTGCCTCACTACCAGAACGGCATCTCCCCGAGCCACGAAGCATCCCCTGTAACAAAGCTCCAAGGAAGTACTGCTGCACCCCCATTAGATCAGACAGGCCTTGCCAGGATAAAACGACATCGAATGCTGCAAAAGTCTGATCACTTCCTGTTCACACAGCCCACACAAATGACAGGAATTGCGCTAGTGTGCTGACGGACAAAAGCGACATCCAATTTTATAAGCTTCGTTGCTCATGCAGCAGGTCAGGCTAGGCCGCCAGAGCACTCTATAGTAAATATAAGCTCCAACGTAACTCCTGCTACGGAGTGAACTGCTACACAGCTCTGGGATGTGCACAAAGCATTATTATTTTAAATTACATTTTTTTCCAGATTCAAAAAAAAAAACACCATTAACTTTATTTTTTTAATATCTAACATTTCAAACACACTCAAAATAGTTACTTCTACTTAAATATGACTCGACAACACTATACAAATAAATCGTTACACAAAATATACTTAAGAAAGTGTTTTGGTCTTCAATTTGAACAATAAATACAGGCACTTCTACATAACGAGAGCAGTCACTGTTCCAAGTAATTGTCTGATATGACACACATGAAAATATGGCAAACAGGGTGTTCTGGGCCCGTGAAATAGCTTTGCGATTCCAGGTTTCAAAAACTCGGGATCTCAAAAAAATAAATAAATAAACCAACGCAACTGGCTTTAAGTCTAGCCCTGCACACAAAACCATCCAACCTTTTAGAATCAACTTAAGTCGTTTCATATGAATTTATTGAATCAAATCAAACTGCACAAATAACTTTAACAACAGAGAAAAGACAACAACTGCGTGTGAAGCCCACTAAATCAAAGTTCTGATGCCGGTGAAAGTGTTTGTCCATCAGCCAATTCCATTAAAAAAAACAAAAACAAAACCTTGTCTTCCCAAATTACACACCAAGTTTTTAAGTTGTGTCGCTTCTCTGAGAAGAAGTAGATGGATCAACTTGAATTTTTACAGGTGCTGTCACAAAGACGGTTCCATCACATTTCACTGAATACTGTTCAGGAGTGGGGCAAACATGGTATGTGTGGGGGGAGAGGGAAACTCACACAATTTTTTAAAAAAAGTAGTTTAGGGATTGTCAATCACGTTGAAGTTATTTTCCTGGATTTACAACAAGGTATTTCATTGCAGAGAAACAACCCGTATGGCTTCTACCACTAGGAGACCCATACCTCCAATATTACAGGGCCAAACAATAACAGCTTCAAAAGGCCATAATTATTACATGCTTTGTTAGGCATAGGAATCAGACAGTAGAAAGGTTAAGGACTGCATTCTTCATGCCACATCCTCCAAATGCGATGGACTCTCACCTTCGTAAGTACTAGGTAAGCCGTTTACAGCTAATTTCATTTGCAAAAACTAGCCTCTGGACAAAGACAGCATATTACTTGTTTAAACCCAATGTTGGAAAGAGCTTTCGGACGCAACACACTCCCCATGCATCAGGCTCAGCAATTTAAATTTGGGTCCTGCAAACGTGTCCAAATCTTAATCATCTCTTGAGGTTTCCTGCTGTGGACTAACATCAGGTTTGTGTAGGAACAGATGTTATCCCTCTGTTTCTCTTCAATGTCAAAAGTCCTAAAGCCTTTGTGTTTTTCCGGGGCAAGGCCGAGCTTCTGAAGGCACATTCCCGTATACACATCATCGATAGGGTAGAGAAGGACCTGTTCAGATGCATTGGTTAACCGTCGTGCTAGTTGACCAGAATAGAGGAACCCACCGCCTCCTGCATATGGAGGATAAGAGCCTTCATAAATACTTTCAGGAATATAGTATTTCAGGTGCTTTTCACGATGAGGTCCAGCATCTTTAATCACATCACCTACGAATAAGTCTTTGGCTTTATCCTTGGTTAAACTTTTCAAGTAATCCAGGATCTGATGGGTATTCACAAAAACATCATCATCTCCCTTAAAAACAAACTGGACATCTGGGCAGGTATTACTGACCCATTTCAGGAACAGTACTTCTTTCAGAGTCAAGTTGAAGAAAGTATCTCTGTAGTTCCACATAAGAATGTCTTGGTGGGTTTCGCTCTCAAATCTGAGCATGTCTGAGAGATTGGGATAATTATCCTCTGGAGGGGTCTCGCCCAATAGAAAGACTCTCACAACAGTTACGTCTCCGGATTTAATCTCCTTCCCCCAAGACTCACGGATTGCCTGTCTTCTATCGAAATGTGGTATGAGCGATTTGATAGCCAGAAGCAGAAAAGGTTTGTGTTTGCACTTGTGTGGTTGATCCACTATTAATGAATAATTTCTACATCTCAGATAATATAAGAAGTCTTTAAACCTGTCAGGCAAATCCGCAAAGTCACTGAGTTCTGAAGCAACAAATGGATCAGGATCGCAAGGATTCAAAAAACTACCATTAGATGATAAATTCTCTTCCGAAGTCATGTTGGAAAGCAATGCCAAAATGGGATTGTACCCGCGTTCCAACTTCTGCTGCTGTTTATTCCAATATGCCTTGTGAGGAGTATATTTCCTCCAAAACTTCTTGAGAGGTACTACAACACGTCCTTTTGAATTCTTCTCTTGGCCAGCACTCTTTGAGACTTCCACAATGACATATATAAAGAAGTTTACCATCATTAGAATTCCCAGCAACCTTAATCTTCTGCGTCCAACACTCATGTCTCATATCTGAAAAACAAAAGTAAATTAATATCAGGGGGGGAAATGGCAAATAGAGACGTAAGACTTCCAGACATTTTGAAGCCATGGGGGAAAAACCCATTTTTTCCCAAAATGTATCCAATATTTACTCTTATCAAACCTGAACTAGATTTATTGCTTTAACAATATAAAAGAAACCATTTATAACTTACTTAGCATACAAAATTGCAATATTTGACATATTTATGGAATTCAAAAGCTATAAATGCCTTAGTTTTGTACAAGCAGAATTGCAAATATACCCCAATGCCTAAGAGAAAACTGCAAGCTGGTGCACCCTCTGCATGGGTATATTAATTTTTGCAATCTTAAGAGAGAGAGCTACGTTCTTAATGGAACTTTGTTTTCCTCTGAGGTCCTGATGCAGTTTCTGCTCTACCTTCGCCTACTCTCCCCCCCCTGCAAGATAGGACAATGAACTACTTTTTACCCAGTCTGTGGGTTAATATGCCACAGTGGTTTGAGCGAGAGGTGAAAAAGGTCAACTACATCAGGTGAAAAGGACAACAGAAGGCATGCAACTGCTGAGAAGCAATGAAAGCCCTGCATACTCCCCTCATGAAGATTAGGTATCCTTCTAAGTGCAGAAAAGCTCCTGGATTTAACAGCTGTATATGTCTACAGCACGCCCACCTTATCTTTAAAAGCATTTCACTATTTCTATAACAGAAACTACTTCATAAGACTTTTTTTCAGTTCTCTAAAAAATTTCAAATGTTCCTGTTGGAAAAACTGGGGGAGGGGAGAGGCCTTGGGAGAAAAAAGACCCCTTCTTCCTCCAAATTTTCCACCCCCTCCCCAGGGCCTTCAGATCTCTATGAGCCAGTGAGTAACTCAACCTCTTATCTTGCATAAACTGTCAGCAGCAATTGTTCTGAATTAAGGTTTTCATAAAGTACAATACAAAGTCTAAAATATCAGATTCACAAAAGCAAAAATGATGATTAAGTTTGAATGTGGGCTATAAACCACCATTTCCTTTAATGAATGCAACAAAACTAGTGTTTTATTTGATAAGGCACACCGCATTCTTCAAATGTCTGAAGCCAAATATAAGACAAAATGATCAACTGAAATGCTCAGCCAGGGAAAAAAAGGAGACAAGGATTGATAAAGGTATTGTCAAATATATTTATATATAAAACTACTTGTAATTTTCATTACTATACTCTGAACATTACATGTTGTAAACTTCCAAGACATGTTGTAAACTTCCAATGAGCCATAAATGGGCTAAGTTGATGGAACGGGTCATAAGAATACAAGAAGAGCCCTGCTGGATCAGACCAATAATCCATCTTGTCCAGCATCCTGTCTCACACAGCGGCCAACCAGTTCCTCTGGTGGGCCAACAACAGGGCAGAGAGGCCGAGACCTTCATAAGAACATCAGAAGAGCCCTGCTGATCAGACCAATAGACCATGTAGTCTCACACAGTGGCCAACCAGTTCCTCTGGAGGCCCAACAAGAGAGCAGAGAGGCTGAGGCCTTCATAAGAACACAAGAAGAGCCCTCCTGGATCAGACCAGTGGTCCATCTAGTCCAGCATCTTGTCTCACACAGTGGCCAACCAGTTACCCTGGAGGTTCAACATCAGTGCATAGAGGCCGAGGCCTTCATGAGAACATAACAAGAGCTCTTCTGGATCAGACCAGTGGTCCATCTAGTCCAGCATCCTGTCTCACACAGTGGCCAATCAGAACAACAGTCCATCTAGTCCAGGATCCTGTCTCTCACAGTTGCCAACCAGTTTCTCTGGATGGTCAACAACAGGGTATAGAGGCCTTCCCCGGCGTTGTCTCCTGGCTCTGGGATTCAGAAGATTAGTGCCTCCTCCTTCTCCATGCTGCTCCCTAAGTTCTCCAAAAAGCTGGTTCTCTGGGTTAGAGGATCCTCGGAAACAGAGACAGACACAGCTTTGGTGACTTCAGCTTGAGGGGAAATGGGTAGAAAACATCCCTGCCCACCTTGCATGAGCAGAGTATGAGTGGTCTGCAAACAAGATGTTTGGTGCAGTCAGAAAGGTAAAATTTCTGAAAAATTTTAAAGCCATGGAAAAATCATTTTTCTCCCTCAGGGGAAAAAAACCCTGCCATCACAAAAAACAAAAATAATATTGGGAGGCCTATCATAATTCCCAAGTTATTAACCCAAAACAAAGTTTTCGTTTCGCAGCAATTTGGTTACCGGTGTTGGAATTTATGGTCTCAAAAGACAAAATTCCAAAAATATATATATCCCTGTGATCTCTTAGTTATAATCAAGTTGCAATGTTAAACAATGTTCATGTTGTTAAACTATTTGATTTTTCATGTTATTTGTTAAAGAATATTAGAATTGTTTTAGTAAGTTATGATTTATCTGTTTGTAATTGCAGATCATTACAAGTATCTGTTTTCCTATTATATGTTTAATAAAAACGTTTAATAAAAAAGCCAACAGTAAATAATATTGGGAGAAACTGAAACACGGGTAATACTTTCCAATCAAGCCCAAACTTATTTTACTGTGGCAACAAGGTATAACACAAGACTTATAATTTAGTAAGACTTATAAACTTAGTATTTAAATATATTTGGGTGTACCTATGGAATATAAAAGTATACACGCCTAGTTTTCTATAAACAAAACTGCAAATATATCTAGTACCTGAAAAAGAGAGCTGCAAACTACCGTACCCTAAACTACACTTCAAACCTTAATTTTGTCAACTGATTGAAAAAATATATATATAAAGATGAGATCAGGAAAAAACCGGTAGTAAATAAAAGAAAGTGTATTAGTTGGATGGAAGCACTTTCATACTCTCACAAAAGCGTGTGAGCGAGATGCTAGCAGCTGTCCTTTAAATAACCCCTAAATTTTAAGTTGATTGGACCAAGGGGTCCAATTCTATGGGACTCTAAAGAAGGCACCTCCTGCAATCCTCCATTCTTTCCATGGGGGGGGGGGAGACCCTGGGAAAAGTGTAAAAATTTATTTATTTAGGCTTATATTCCGCCCTCCCCGCAAACGGGCTCAGAATGGATGTCAACAGGAGTTAAAACATTTCCACAATAAGAATTAAAACATTTCATAAAATCTTCCACAATAAATAGTTAAAACAGATTTAAACAAAGCTATTAATAAATATAAAAAACCAATAAACCAATAATAGCCCCCCCCCCATAGGAAGGCTATTGGAAGCTATTTCTAAGGTCGCCCAATATAAAACGCAAGAATCTGAACCCATGTAGAGCCTGAAAATGTCAAGTCTTGAAACTGATAGAACCTTATGTAAAGTAGCTTGGCAAGCCGATACCAAGCACCGGAAGACACAGACACTGGAGAAGGGGGAGACAGAGGAAAAAACAGTCCTCAGAGCCTCCAAATGCTGACTCTCAATGTTCCCAGTTAATCCTGAATATTTCCAGGATTTTTTGGGACCAAACAATTCCAGATGTATTTGGGAGACCCAATTATATCTCTAAAACACTGATAAGGCACATCTCTAGATGCCAACCAACAGCAGTGTCATCCCTCCTTCGATTCCCAATTGCCTTCTGTCCTTCACTGTCCTCAAAGGTGACTATCGGTCAGTTTATCCTAGTCTCTATGATACAGTATAAGAGAAATGGGACATCCATTTTCTGTAGCCATTCTAGGACTTTCATTTACTCTAGACCAGGGGTGTCAAACATGTGGCCCGGGGGCTGGATCAGGCCCCCAGAGGGCTTCTATCGGGCCCGGAAGGGACTGGCTGTCTCCTGCTTCTTCCTCCGGTTCTGCTGCTGTTGCATCATAGCTTGCTTCCCCAGACTCTCTCAATCGCTCAGGAGAGCTAGATAGGCAAGCTTCTGCTCCCTGCACTGAGCTGAGGCTCCTCCTCCTCCCCCTCCCAGATTGCTACAGCACAGACATTTTGATGCAATAATTCAGAACAAGAAGTGTCAGTTATCAGAGACAGTTAAATAAACAAAATATTGTAAGAATGCTAATGTTTCAGGCATGTTTTTATTTTAAGTTAAAAAAAAAATCTTTGTGTTTGTGTCCTTTATTCCTTCATCCAAAGCCTTTTATTGGCATATACATATACAGTAATCTAAATACAAAATCATGCAGAGTAAAATTAAAATTGCAGAGTAACATCACAGAGTAACATCATCATAAAACCTAATTCATAATATCACTTATCAGGCCGTAGGACCATGGCACTGCAGAGAAACTTTGCTACTATTTCAGTTATTTCTGTATCTGGATTATTGAGCAAGATAAGGAGTTTAAAATCATCCAGGGGTCTCTAAAAATTGGCCTAATATGGGATATAGAAGATCCCGACAGGACGCCAAATAGAGCGGGCACTGGAGGAGGACGTGGGCGACAGTTTCAACACAGTCCTTCATACAAGGACAGCCCCTGCTAGGACAGGGAACCCCTTGGAATCTGCCAGATGATAGCTGAAGGAAGAACATTAAATCTAGCCAAGGATATGGCTCTACGCAAATTTGGAGCTATGAGTTGACAGAGGTATACTGCTGGAAGATTTGCATTAGGAACAATCCCCAGATTTAAGGGAGAACAGGTTCTGTTAGGCAGGCTATAAAGAGTTTGTAGCTGTGTCCTTTACATAAAGTTTATATTTCCACTACCTGGCATTACATTTTATGACACACATGGCCTGGCCTGACACAGTCCAATTTATGTCAAATCCGGCCCTCCATAACAAATGAGTTCGACACCCCTGCTCTAGACTGTATGGTTCCTCCAGAGGAGCTGACCTCTGTAGTGTGGAGATCAGTTGTAATTCCCAGGAAACTCCAGGCTCCACCTGGAGGTTGGCTACCCTACTCTGACGAAAAGCCGCTACCACTGCAGCCTCCTCCCACCGGTAGAACTGTCTCGGTGTTCAGCACAGTCCACCCCCATACCCTGGTTTGTTGCCACGCTAGTAACTAATGTTCCCCAGGACTTTTTTTGTAG